GAGAGTTCCAGTGCCTCCAGTCCCTGCCACTACTTGATAGTGCCAGTCTGTAATGTCAGCCCATTTCATAAGTGTGTAGTGCTGTTGCCTTTGCATTTCCTAGGGCTGTGGATTTTGAGTATTTTTTCGTGTGTTTATTTACCACCTGTCTATCTCCTTTGGTACAATTTTTGTTCATATCCTTTGCCCATTATCTTTCTGATGAGTTATGGCTATTTCCATTTTCATTTACAAATAAGAAACACGTACAACAATGGTTTGTATTCGAATTTTCCTCATTCTTAAATGGTGTGACATTTTGCTGTATGGAGTCATAGTAACAGTGTTAGGCTATTTCTTCACTATTTTCACTCAGCTGCTTTTGTGTCGTGCACACGTGACGGCCCAGAACACCATACATGTGTAAGTTTAGTGTGCATTCTTACCATTATGTCTTCACTTTCTTACATCCAGGCATTCAGAAATACAAAACTACAGCCCTGCTTTGTAGTGCTTGCCAATTTCCCAAGTGTAAATTCTCCCATCATGAGAGCGGGATATGCTGGGAGAAGGCGCTGAAAAATTCCACTTGGGTGTTTGGTGGAAGACTAAACTTTGGCGTGTGCAGGAGACTTTACGATCCCAGGCGGACAGGAGCTCGGGTGGGGGTGGAGGTGGGGGTGCTGTGAGCCAGCTGCAGGTCTGCACAAGCCTCAGGAGAAGATGTTAATCCTGATTGGCCAGAGGGGAGGGACCTCCCTAAACACCCTGATGGGTGAGTGAAAATATGGCTGGCCTCACCTTAGTGGTGACCAGGTTGTCGGGCAAACCCGCTGGGTTCAGATTGCTTCCTCGGATCCCGCCCAGTACCTTGGAAGGATTTCTCACCCTCTAGTGATCACCTCCATGTGATGTAACTCTTTCTTTCTGTAATAGTTGAGTGCATTCCCCAAAGATGAATGCCTTTGGTGCATCTCACCCTGAATCTAGGTTGTCTTACCAGCCCTCCCCCTCAGGGGAAGATTGCTGGCCGGGGCACTGCGGCCATTTCTGGCTTCCCCCTCTCCAGGGAGGACTGGGAGCCAGTGGGGCAGGCAGAGGAGGGCGACACTCCCAGAAGGAGAGGTCAGCGGCCTTAGTGTAGGAACCCGCTGAGACCTTTTTTCCTCGGACCCACACGAGACGGTGGTGTCATCTCAGAGCATCAGCCAGGAAGGGGCCTGCCGGGAGGAAAAGGTTCTGGGTCGCAGGTCAGGAGTGGCACAGGGACAGGGGAGGAAAATGGCACCCCCCGGAGGTGACTTTGGAAGGACCTGCTGGGTTGAGTCCCCGTATGTCCTGTGGAGCTCAAGGTCCCACTGTCGATCCTTAATGCAATGCATTGCCCGGAGCGCTGGCCATTCTTGACCCGGGAGGCGCCTGAGGGACACAGCCCAGTCCACAGGTGAGTTCTTGATTCCTTTCCACGTGCACAATCGTGACCACTCTGGCAGCTCCTCGGGGTGACAGGGTGTGACATCTGGGCTAAACTCGTTGGATTAGGTTGTCCAAGATTATGTAAAGGAAAAAACTTCAGGCACAGGTTGGTCAACAAATTATGAGTTTGTTGTACTGTGGGGTACAGGGATGTAAGAGCACCCATCCTGGGGGTCCCAAGTGGACTAGGTTTGGCTGCTCAGCGGTGACAAAATCCCAAGGCAGAGGAACGAGTTGGGGGTGAATCTCTTTCAGGGAGGCTAACATAGGGAACACAGTGGACTAAACTCTCAAAGACTGATTCCAAAGTGGTGAAAACACTTCTAGGTTTATATAAGAAAAATGTCAGCAAAGGTGGGTGTGTACATGCAGGGAGGCAGTGAGTCAAGTAGATCATTGTCATGGAGTCACTCATGAATGGGGTCTTGCTGTTCAGGGCACTCTTTATTGCTTGAAGGGGTCGTTTTGGTTCTCATCTGGGAATGTTTGCCATCAAGGTCTTCCTTAGCCAAGAGACAAGTTGGAAGGAACCCAACGAGAAAGTTTGAAGTCAAAATAGAGGCAACTGAGGTCCTCTTTCAGTACTAACAAAAATAGTACGTAGGGGTGCAGCCACCTCAAACCCTATGGCCAGTCCAGTCATCTTGAAGGTTTGCCAAGCATCCTTCGTCCCCATGATTTCTCTGCGGATGTTTCTCTGTAGATCAGGCATTCTCTCCTAGAAGAGCAGAGCAGTTCTGCATGCCACAACACAAAGCAGACCCTCTTGCACAACCCCTAGGCACTGGGGAACCAGAACCTGTTGGAAAACCTTTGAGCACTGTGATAACATCCATAGCTAGCACCAGAAGAGTCTGCATGTAGTCAAGAGATGCTCCAGACCGCTGTGCTCCCTTTTCTGGTTAACTGCCCTAAACTGCTTTAAAAACCCTTGGGGGAGGCAGAGACCTGGGAGTTGGCCTGTGTACAAAAGTCCGCCTTCTCCCCGGGTGGCCAGTTGCATGAATGAGCTCATGTTCCTTTCCATTGAACACTTGTCTCATGAGTATTGGGTTTTCGAGCAATGGGCAGCAGAACTTGAGTTTTGGTAATGTAGGAATGTATTTGAACATAGATACACAGATGTGCATCCAAGTGCCAAAGCAGTTGGATACCAGTACGGTATGCAAATACCGTTTTTCTGTAGGAGGGAGAGTGATTGAAGGCTTTTCACTTTGTATGTTCATAAAGGAGTAGTAATCCATTAATAAACAATAGACAATATTAATATTAATAGACAATATTGTTATTAATAAACAATAAACAAAAATCAGCTATTGTAGACCTTACTTTTTAGTGAAGGAAACATTTGTGTGCTGATAATTTTGCAGGCTTGGTTCTCAAATCCTGCAGCCTTAGAGAAGATTCGTGTTAAACACAAGCATATTGGGTTTACTGTCTTCAGTAACAAGTAAGTGGAGGGAATACTTAACTCTGGGTCTATTTCACCCGGAGACCTCTTAAAACACCGCTCTTTAGTGGCGCCTGCATGGCTCAGTTGGTTGAGCATCTGACTTAGGCTCAAGTCATGATCTCCTCGTTTGTGAGTTTGAGGCCTGCATTGGGCTCTCCGCTCTCAGCGCAGAGCCCACTTTGGACCTTCTGCTTCTCCCCCACTCACACTCTCTTTCTCAATAATAAATACCTCAAAACAAAATAAAACAAAACAAAAGCACTGCTTCTTGGAATCACCTGGAAAGTGTCTGAGTCAGTCAGTCTAGGGTATAGGCTGAGAATGAGCATTTCTAGTGAGTTGGTAGGTGATGCTAATGGAGAAGGTCAGTGCAGAGATGAAACTGTGAGAACAAGCATTTAGGGAGGGCCAGGCTCCCTCCCTCCAGGCTGCAGTACCTGCAGACTGTAGCTCTGTAGACTCAGAGGACAGCAGAATACTTTTTTCCTCCAAGTATTTATTTAAATTCCAGCTAGTTAAAATACAGTGCAGTATTAGTTTCAGGTGTAGAATTTAGTGATTCATTACTTACAACAACTGGTGCTCATCACGACAAGTGCACCCCTTGAAAGCCATCACCTGTTAACACATCCCCCACCCACCCACCTATCCTCAAGTAACCCTGCATTTGTTCTCTATAGTTAAGAATCTGTTTCTTGGGGAGCCTGGGTGGCTTAGTTGGTTAAGCATCCAGAACTTGATTTCAGCTCATGTTGTGATCTCACAGTTCGTGGGTCGATCCCCGGATCAGACGCTTCACTGATACACAGAGCCTGCCTGGGATTCTGTCGCCCTCTCTCTCTGCTCCTCCTCCCCCCTAAAAAAAAAAAAAAGCAAAAAGCACCTAACAAGAGTCTATTTCTTGCTTGCCTCTCTCCTCACCGCCCCCCCCACCCCATGTTCATTTGTGTTGTTTCTTAAGTTTCACATATGAGTGAAGTCCTATGGGATTTGTGTTTCCCTGACGGACTCATTGCACTTAGTATCATACTCTCTGGCTCCATCCATGTCGTTGCAAAGGCAAGATTGCATTCTTTTTGGTGGCTGAGTAGTATCCCATTATATATATGTATATGTATATGTATATGTATATGTATATGTATATGTATAT